AACTGTTAACAGAGCTCAAGCCACTGCCTCCCATACCTCAAGTCTGTTGATTGTCACTGTTTCCTTACCTACTAACAATTTCTGTACAACATGATATGAACTAATGGACTATAAATGTGTGTGAGTGAGTGAATTGGGTTTTATGCCGCTTTTAGCAATGTTCCAGCAACATCACGGCGGGGGACACCAGAAATGGGCTTCACACATTGTACTCATATGGGGAATCGAACCCGGGCCTTCGGCGTGACGGGCAAATGCTTTAACAACCAGGCTACCCCACCGCGCTATAAATGTGAAGTTTTAGTTACATTAGACGATTTCTAAAAATAACGTGCATTTCAAACATTTAAATTTGATATATATTGTAATCAAAAAGAAGGAAACGAAAGTTTAAAGGCTTTTCGAAAGTGATCTGTTTGATTGACATCTTAGAAGTTGATGAATAATAACAAGGGCATGATACTTTATGGATAACAACTTCTTTATTATATTATGCTAAAAAAGAAGTTGTTATCCATAAAGTATCATAGGTTCTTATTTTTTCGCGGACAGTCCTCGGATTGGTGATCGTGTTTGGCAGCTTGACCCCTGAAAGTTTCTATGACTTCAGTCCTGCCCCACAACGAAGCACATGTGACGCATGTTGTCTCACCTTAGGCAAGTGAGTTTGTTCAAACTTGCCTCTGTCCACCCAGCAGTAAAATTGGGTACCTGGTATGATACGATGGTAGTCTGAATTTGAACCTTGAGCGCCTGACAGGCGACCGGTTGTATTCTCCACAGGGAGTGTTCTGTACTCGTTGACCAGGGGTAATATGTCAGCGCTTTGAGCATGCAATGTGCATGGATAAACGCGCAATATAAATGGACTATTATATTATTATTATTATTATTATTATTTTCGAAAAGTGTCCATTGTTTCCCCTTTTGTTCATTACACATTGTTTCAGAAAGTGGTTGAAAATACTTCAGTTGTTCAGTTGTGGTAAGCGTTCGTAAAATATCGGTCTTCCTCTCAGTCAAGTAATGTCTTACAAATCACTTATGTTTAGGTACTGCGAAATATACTCAGCGCAAGTATTGAAGGGTCACCTATATTACATGAATCTGCAAAGAAATGAAAACAAATATGAGAGGCATAGTGATTTATAATGATTGTATTGAGTTTTATTTCAACAGTGATATCAAAAGAAATCGCATAAATGCAAAAGGGCCCTTGCGAATAGCACAGTTTAAAGGGTACCCTTCATAAACAAGTTCACACACTGTAGTCAAAACTCCTGGTTGCAGTACAGAGTCAGTATCTGGTGTAACCGCCCCTGCTGGTTATCCCTTCTGTGCACCTTGCCCTCATACTCCTTACCAGGTTCATTATGAAGGCTTGGGGTATGGCATCCCACTCCTGGAGCAGAACGCTCTGCAGTGTCCTCAGATCATGTGGCGAAGGTGTCTTCGGTAAACGTGGCGCCCCAGCTCATCCCATAAATGTTCAATGGTGTTAAAGTCGGGGGAGCAAGAAGGCCAGTCCATTCTCCTAACGCCCTGTTGCTGAATGAAGTCGTTGACGATGTGTCCACGGTGTGGTCGAGCATTATCATCCTGGAGGATTGGGGGACCTCTGTAGTGACGCATGGTCCCCATGAATGGTGCCACAATTGGAGCCACTATCTCATCTCTGTAGCCCAGAGCAGTGAGATTTCCCACAATAACGTGTAATCGTGTCCTTGCTGTTGTAATTCCACCCCAGACCATTATGGAACCACCACCGAATCGATTATGGGCCACAACAGCAGCATCTGCAAAACGTTCCCGACGTCGTCTGTAGATTCTCCTACGCCCATCATGAAATGAAACATTAAACCGGCTTTCGTCAGTAAACAACACTGACGACCACCGACGTTGATTCCAGCGCTGATGACGTGTGCACCATAGTAAACGTGCTTGGCGGTGACGTGCTGTCAGTGGTGGACGAACAGCTGGACGTCGAGAACGGAGACCAGCTGAACGTAACCTGCTTCTTACTGTTGTCTGACTAATGGGGAAGTTGGTGGCGTAAAAAAGTTCACCTCTCAACTGGCGTGACGTCAGAAATCGGTTGCGTAGAGCAAGGTTGACGAGGTAACGGTCCTGTCTCTGTGTGGTAACCCTAGGACGCCCAGGTCTTTGGGCATAAGCAACAGTTACAGTCGACTGATGCCGCTGCCAGAGTCTCCCAATCACACTCTGAGTGACGTTAAAAGTGCAGCAACCTGACGTTGGCTACTACCCGCCTGGAGCATACCAATAGCTCGACCTCGATTTTCAATACTCAAAAAACGTCGCATTCTTTCAAGTGGTGCTTTTCTGTCAACGAGGCCTGAAAGCATGTGCTTCTCCCCCGATTTGCACGTGACCATACCCCGATTTGCACGTGCAAATCGTGTGATAGGTTTGCGTTCGACAGTAACGATCTGTGTTCATGCATGAAAATCGTCAATTGTTGGAATAATTATCACTGTTTGCTTACTTTTTTTCATTATTTTCTGAGGTTTAAATGCCATAATCATTAATCATGATTGTAACCTCTAACAACTAAAGTTTGTCTTAATGCTAACTCTAAATATGATTACTTACAGCAGCTTTAATTTCCACCAGTCATTCATATGGGTGACCCTTCAATAATTGCGTTGAGTATATGTAATTGTCCAAATCACTCTCGAAGAAAACCGTTAGAGTGTGTCCACATATATTCCAAAAGATATACTTGTGAATATCCGGGTTAGAATTGGCACTCAGTAATCCATGTTTGTCGTAACGGGATCAGGCGATCAGGCTAATATACTTGGTAATGTGCATATCACGTCTCTCATAGTGACTATCAGGTCAGGCCGTCGCGTAGCGGACAGTTTGCTGAGTGCGAAGTTGAACACACAAAAAAACAAAACCGAACACCAACCAAGCAAACACGTCGCGACCTGCAGATACTTCGTATCTCTATTGATCGATGCTCTACCCGTGGAGGTCCGGGTTAGCATATTGATCTTCAGTAACCCATGCCTGTCGTAAGAGGCGACTAACGGGATCGGGTGGTCAGGCTCGCTGACTTGGTTGACACATGTCATGGTTTCAATTCTCATGCTGTTGATCACTGGATTGTCTGATCCAGACTCGATTATTTACAGACCGCCGCCATATAACTGGAATGCTGAGTGCGGCATTAACCAACCAACCAACAAAGGGCCGGTGGGGTAGCCTAGTGGTTAAAGCGTTCGCTCATCACGCCGAAGACCCGGGTTCGATTCCTTACATAGGTACAATGTGTGAAGCCCATTTCTGGTGTCCCCCGCCGTGATAGTGCTGGAAAATTGCTAAAATGGCGTAAAACTAAACTCACTCACTCACTCTACACGCCTAAGGGACACAACTCTCCACAGCGACAGGGGCGCCATACACGACAGGGCCCCGTCGCCTCATAGTGGACATTTTGAGAGTATCAGCAATTTATTACCTCGCCAAAACAGCGTACATATCATGTGATACAGAGCAGCTTAGCAATTCACAGAATCACAATTGATTGGATGTTTGATTGCATTATTTATTCAATACAAATTAACCCAAACATGTCAGCAGGGTGACGGCTACGAGGACGGTCAAGGTCACAGACGGGAACGTTGATGGCGACGTGTCAGAGATGAAGGGGTCCATCACAAAGCGTTGAGGTGGGATGAACTTTGGCTTGGCCACCACCGCCACTCCAACGCTGCGCCCAGCTGGCGTCGTCGGGCAGTCTGGTGACGCAATTGAGACAATAATTAATTAACATAATTAACAGAACATTGTTACAGCCTCTTCTAAAATACAGCAACAGCAACGTCAAGAAACATCTTGTGAGTGAGTGAGTATGGTTTTACGCCGCTTACAGCAATATTCCAGCAATATTACGGCGAGGGACACCAGAAATGGCTTTCACGACTTCTGCACCTTTTGGGAATGGAAGCCGGTTGTTCTCTGTGAAGACTGACTGACTGAGTTTGGTGTTACGCCGCTGTTAGCAATATGCCAGCAATATCACGGCGGGGGACACCAGAAATGGCCTTCACTCATTGTACCAATGTGGGGATTCGAACCCGGGTCTTCGGCGTGACGAGCGAACGCTTTAACCATTAAGCTACCCAACCGCCCCGAAGAAACATCTAACTAAGTAACTGACACATATTTTATTACCTAGTATTCTTTTGATCAATTCATGAAATACCCCATCGATCTAATTCAATCTGGTTGGAGTTTTCACGATTAGGCATCGGGTCCTCGTTGATTTAAACCATTGCTGTTTTCTTGTGACAAGGTTAAACAGATGTAAAGTTCCGTCACTGCAAAGTGGTGTTTAACCAACAACTCAGTTCAAAGACATATTATCTCAAGCACCCATCAAACCATCCACCAGTCCACTTACCAACACACTCACTCCAAACCCCATCCACCCACCCATCCACATACTCGTAAAACAAGTCACCTACGCTATAACTACTTCACCCAGTCACCCGTCCACTCCCCCACTACCCCGTCCGTCACTCGCTCACCCTACCGTCCGTGCAAAAACCTCACTCACTCATTGCACGATAGCTCTTAAAGTGCCTTCAACACTGCATTCACCAAGGTAAACCTCACTCACTCACTCACTCAGTAACCCACTCATTGCACAATAGCTCTTGAAGTCCCTTCAACACTACATTCATCAAGGCGATCCGTGAAGGTCTGGGTTAGAATATTGATCTTCAGTAACCCATGCTTGTCGTAAGAGGCGACAAACGGGATCGGGTGGTGAGCCTCGCTGACTGGTTGACACGTCATCGGTTTCCAATTGCGCAGATCAATGCTCATGCTTTTGATCACTGGATTGTCTGGACCAGACTCTATTATTTACAGACCGCCGCCATATAGCTGGAATATTGCTGAGTGCGGCGTAAAACTAAACTCACTCACTCACTCACTCGACTGTACCTTTTGACACATCAACGCCACATTCATTGGTGTCCGTGGGGTCAAGCCAAAACGTCACGTCCGTCTTCAGGATGTAGCCAGTCCGGCAGACACATCCAGCTGAGCGGCTACACACAGCGTTGGGGTCAGCGCAGGGGTTCTTCACCCCACAGTATTGACCCACGACCCTCTGGAACCAGAACACGCACCCCGTACTGGACTTGCTGGTCCAGGGGAAGCAGGTACACACGCCCCCCAGCACACCAGGACTTGGGGTCAGTGCACTCTGAGGACTTTGTGCAGGCTTCACCAATTTTGGATGCTGAAAATATATTTCATTGTAAAGGGCGAGAGTTTGCCATATAAATGGCTCTAGGGATGTTAAACACCATGCATGTTGCTTTACTTTCCCCCACGTGTATATATTCAGTTACACGATGAAGGAATTTGTTTACATATAGTCTGGATCTACAAGAAACTATATTTCAGAACATCCAACGATTGCTTTGTGTATAAACACATGTTTTCAAGTTATTTGGTAACACAGCAAAGTAATATAATTCAAGACCCCAAACCAATCCCACCCAAATCAGACCCAATATCAAACGGTCCATCAAACTATATTTCAGAACATCCAAGGATTGCTTTGTGTATAAACACATGTTTTCAAGTTATTTGTTAACAAAGCAAAGTAATATAATTCAAGACCCCAAACCTATTCCACCCAAATCAGACCCAATATCAAACGGTCCACCACCTTTCTTGTTACCTCAACTTGACAATGTATCATCAACACACCCACTACGACAACAGCGACAACTACCACTGCATGGGATTCCGCAACTACGTCGACAGAGTCTTCACTGTGTTGATGTCGTGTTGAATCCTGGTGAGAAGTAGTTCCCAAGGTGCCGTTGTACAAAGCGATCTTAGCACTAAGGTGGCCGTAACTTCCATAACTTAACACTGACTAAGGTAGCCTTAGCGCTAAGGTTATTTTGAACAACGGCACCCAGATATGCATGCTTGTTACAACAGTTCGCTCGTCACGCCGAAGACCCTGGTCCGATTCCCTACATGGATACAATGTGTGAAGATCATTTCTGGTGTCCTCCGCCGTGATATTGCTGAAATATTGCTCAAATCGGCGTAAAACCAAATTCACTCACTCACTGTTACAACAGGTTTACGGAACCTTGGAGTGAGTGAGTGAGTTGGGTTTTACACCGCTTTTAGTGCAATATTCCACCAATATGACGGCGGGCACACATTGTACCCATGTGGGAATCTAACCAGGGTCTTCGGCGTGACGAGCGGACGTCGGAACCCTGGACATGCGGACATACCTGCGACACACGCCGTCTTGTCCGAGCTGGATCTGAATCGTCTCTGACACCTGCATACCGGCTGGCTACACCCCACCTTCAGACAAGTCGAGTTGAGGGGACACTGCTCTCTCACCTCGCAGACCTGACCTAACTTTTTATCTGAGAAAGAAAACCCATTGGTGTCAAAACCAATAACGATTGTTTTTTTCGCCCATGTTGGATAAAGATAGTGTATATTGCTGCGCGTCAAGCAACGAAGGTATACATTTAAATGCAAATCGTGTGAGAGAGTGAGTCTAGTTTTACGTCGCTTGTAGCAATATTTCAGTAATATTACGGCGGGGAACACCAGAAATGGGCTCCACACATTGTACCCATGTGGGGAATCGAACCCGGGTCTTAGACGTTACGAGCGGACGCTTTAACCACTAGGCTACCCCACCGCCCCAAATTGTGTGAGAGGTGGATGCTGCCAAGACAGATTGGCATGTTCTTATCGAGAACACCTGGTGTCATCACTGATTTGCATGCTTCCCTTCACAACATTTTAATTTTTAACGATGTGAAATGCTGGAGGATCGAGCAGGGTTATTCTCTGGCGTTATTGTAGTTGTTGTATTTAAAATATTTACAATTAGGAGATAAAAATCATGTGTTGACCAATTTCCGGGTGTTACTGAGTATTTGAAGCACGGGAATTCATTTGGAACCGACGGCGTAAGCCGATATTTAGGCACCAGTGTTGTTTTAGAGTCACTGAGTATAGTTTTACGCCGCTTTCAGCAAAAGTCTAGCAATATCACGGCGGGGACACCACAAATGGGCTTCACACATTCTACTCATGTGGGGAATCGAACCCGGGTCTTCAGCGTGACGAGGGGACGCTTTAACCATTAGGCTACCACACCGCCCTTGCTAGTTTTAGGAGTAATTATGATACTACTGTCTGGATTTGAATTTTGGCAGCATGCGTCTTGACGCTCGTTTGAGTTGAAAATAAGTCATATTTACGTACCCCTTGCTATCGTTGTTGTTGGTGTTTGTGTCGTTGTAGATGTCACGCATTCTGCTGTTAAACGTGAAAAGAAAAACAATATGAATAGTCTTTCTTCAAGGATTATTTTGAAGAAACCTAAGAAAAATGTATATAGACGACATGAATACCCTCCAACAAATAATGTGCTTTCAGGGTTTAAGCCGAAAGTAATCGCTCACCAGATATGCTTGGTATGCTGTTTGTTTAAAGATATACTAAGTGTTCTGGGTAGAATGGTTGGTTTGTTGATAAAAGTCGCACTCAGCAGTATTCCAGCTATATGGCGGTGGTCTGTAACTAATCGAGTCTGGACCAGACAATCCAGTAATCAACATCATGAACATCGTTCGACGCAATTGGGATACGGTGACATGCGACGGCGGCCAGAAAATAAACCAGACAATAAAATGACTGATGGACTGGAAAATCCATTTAGATAATTTTGAGTACTGAGATTCTGAAGCTTATATGTAAAGAAAAACTTTTGGTAAATAGATTTGAATAACAGGTTTAATGTCTCGGACTAAACACTTCTTTCATAGCTAATTCAGCATACTACGTAAATATACTAATGGGCTTATGATGAATATCGGGGAATTCAGTCCACCAGCAGAAACACTGAGCCAGTTGATTTAGATATAGAGCATACTTGACTACACTTCAGGAGCAAATTCCTTTGGTGTAATGGGAAAAATAGTTTTGACAATTAAAAACATATGTATGTGAAAGGTTGGTGGGTTGTTTTGTTGTTTAACGCCACATTCTGCAATATTCCAAGAATATGGCGGAGGTCTGTAAATAATAGAGTCTGGACCAGACAATCCAGTATTCAACAGCATGGGTAATTGGAATACGTTGACATGATTTTGTCAACCAAGTCAGCGATCCTGATCACCCGATCCCGTTAGTAGCCTCTTACGACAAGCATGGGTTACTGAAGATCAATTCTAACCCGGATCTTCACGGTTGAAATAAAAAGGAATAGCAAGACGCACTGAGTAAGAAGTTCCCCTTGACGCAGTCAGTCCTGTCATACGGGTTGTCCCAGAATTCCTCCTCCGTCTTGTTTCTGTACCCACTCTTGCACTGGCACGTCCCATCCCTCGCGCAGAGGGCGTTGGTGTCGAGGCAGTCACTTGTAGCACCACAAGGCTCCCCGATTACCCAGAACCCCCTAATTGCGCAAGTGTTCCGGTTGGTTTTTCGGACGAAGCTTGAACATTGACATTTTCCGTCACAGTATGACAGAAAGGGGACGCACTCGGACACGTCGGCACATGTGTCGTCGATGAGCTTGCCTGTAATATATCAATGAGTCATCAACATTCAAGAAGCCCTCATTCATGTTCTCATGAAGCCCATGTTGTTCTCGACCTTATATAGACATGAGGCCTGGGACGATTAGTCATTTGAACCCGTCTGTAGAGCGTTCGCTCGCCACGCCAGGGCCAAAAACACCCCCCCAAAAACAATAAATAAAATAAATAAAATACAAATAAAATAAATAAAATAAAAAATAATAAAAAAATATATATATACAAACAGATCCCCCCAAAACAACAACACCAATAAACACACACACAAGAGAAAAATAAAAATGGGGTCAATATTAAATTTTGCTACAATTTAAACTCCATCTAGAATAGGAACCGATTTTTTTGGTATTTCAGTTTTGAAATGGCTAAACAATTCTAATTAGGATCGTTTGTGCATGGGGTCATGAAACAGGGGCGTAGGAACAGGGGATGGGGTTGGCTTTGGGGGCCTCCCCACGACCTCCCCACCCCCAACCCCACCCCCGGACATTTTTCAAGAGGAAACCACATCTACCTTACCATAACTGAAACATCATTTTGATTTTCAATACTTACCTCAAATTAGCTCCCGCTCTGAAAACCGTACCTACGCCCCTGTGAAATCAATGTATGCAAGGATCGTTTAGCAAATCTAGGGCCTGGTTTCACCGTGACAGTGACCATGGAATATGCCCAAACTTTTGTATTTCGTCGACTGTATATACATGGCTGTAATAGTGCCCATGCGGTTTGAAATTTAAACACAACCTTACAAGTGATGTTCGAAATGTCAGCAGATGTACCAACACCATGTAAAAGTTGAGAATGCCTTAGAAGCAAGCTGTTTTGTCCCTCGTCGCCATGAAGCCCGTTTTCCAAACGGAAACAGACCTTGACACTGGAGTTAGTGAGTGAGCCGGTATGGTTTTATGACGCTTTTAGCAATATTCTAGCAACACCACGGCGGGGAACACCTAAATGGGCTTCACAGACTGTACCCATATGGGGATTCGAACCCGGGACTTCAGGGTAACGCTTTAACCATCAGGCTACCCCGCCGTCCTATTGACATTGGAAGATGGAAATACCTCTAAAACAAGCTGGTTAGTTTTTTGTAATCACGAAAACCGTGCAAATAGATTCTGGTGAGATGCTAACGCTTTGTATGTACATGTACTTATATGAGCAGGTGAAGGTCGACGTCAAATACCTTTAAAGCAAGCTGTTTTATCTCTGGTCGCCACGAAGCCCGTGTTGCACATACAAACAGATCCTGCACATCCTCTGACTCTGCAAGAAGAGTCGGCGGGACAATCAGCATCCTCGGCACATGCATCGAACACCTTGACCACTGCTGCAAGACAGGTACATCATATGCATTACACACGTGTACACTGAACTGGCCGGCAAGAAACGAATACACCCATGTCTGATTGTGAACAAACAAGAAAGAGTTCATGGAGAAGAGCAGTTGCTTGCAAACTATATCATTTTGTGAGAATGTGCCAAATGTATTCTTTTGTGTGTGTGTGTGTGTGTGTGTGTATATGTATATATACATGTGTGTGTATTTGTGTGTATATGTATATATACATGTGTGTGTATTTGTGTGTGTATATGTATATATACATGTGTGTGTATTTGTGTGTGTATCTGTGTGAGAGAAAACATCCCAACACATTCAATGCCGATAGACCTAGTCAATAAGTAACCTTTTAGAACTTTAATTCTGAACCAAGTGGTGTCGCAGTGAGAACTTTATGACGATACTTTAAAGTTTCTAATGACATCTCACTCACTCAGCCACCCTAAACCCACTCACTCACTCACTCAACCACTCAACCACCCACCTTAAACCAACTCACTCACTCACTCACTCACCCACCCTAAACCCACTCACTCACTCATTTACTCAGTATTTGTCACCTGTGGTTGCTGTCTCAGCGGTTGTAGCCGTTGCTCCAGTGGTATCTGTAGCAGACGTAGTGGCTGTAGTATCCGTGGTTTCAGTTGCAGCTGTAGTAGCTGCAGTTGCAGTCGTGTCCGTACTTGAGCTGGTCGTGTCAGACGTACTTGTGGTCGTAGCAGGTGTCGTAGAAGTTGTGGACTGAGTTGTTGTTACCGGGCAAAGTGTCGGGTTTTCTGAGAAACAAAAATGCAATACCATTCCTATCATTGATTATACCATTAAGAGATCCAATGACCACATATAAAACTACGTACTACGTCACATGTACAATTACAGCAATAAATCACCGCATCTACAACTACTGAATTCTCCAATCTCTCGTCACATATACCATTTCTCCAACCACTCGTCACATATACCATTTCTCCAATCACTCGTCACATGTACCATTTCTACATTCACTCGCCACATGTACCATTTCTCCAATCTCTCGCCACATGTACCATTTCTCCAATCTCTCGCCACACGTACCATTTCTCCAATCACTCGTCACATGTACCATTTCTCCAATCACTCGTCACATGTACCATTTCTCCAATCACTCGTCACATGTACCATTTCTCCAATCACTCGTCACATGTACCATTTCTCCAATCTCTCGTCATATGTACCATTTCTCCATTCACTCGCCACATGTACCATTTCTCCAATCTCTCGTCACATGTACCATGTCTCCAACCACTCGTCACATGTACCATGTCTCCAACCACTCGTCACATGTACCATGTCTCCAACCACTCGTCACATATACCATTTTTCCATTCACTCACCACATGTACCATTTCTCCATTCACTCGCCACATGTACCATTTCTCCAATCTCTCGTCACATGTACAATTTCTCCAATCTCTCGCCACACGTACAATTTCTCCAATCAGTCGTCACATGTACAATTTCTCCTACCACTCGTCACATGTAACATTTCTCCAACCACTCGTCACATGTACCATTTCTCCAATCACTCGTCACATGTACCATTTCTCCAATCACTCGTCACATGTACCATTTCTCCAATCTCTCGTCACATGTACCATTTCTTCAATCTCTCGTCACATGTACCATTTCTCCAATCACTCGTCACATGTACCATTTCTCCAATCACTCGTCACATGTACCATTTCTCCATTCACTCGTCACATGTACCATTTCTCCAATCACTCGTCACATGTACCATTTCTCCAATCACTCGTCACATGTACCATTTCTCCAATCAGTCGTCACATATACTATTTCTCCAATCAGACGTCACATGTACCATTTCTCCAATCACTCGTCACATAAACAATTTCTCAAATCAGTCGTCACATATACTATTTCTCTAATCAGTCGTCACATATACTATTTCTCCAATCAGTCGTCACATAAACTATTTCTCCAACCAGTCGTCACATATACTATGTTTCCAATCATTCGTCACATGTACCATTTGTCCAATGACTCGTCACATGTACCATTTGTCCAATGACTCGTCACATGTACCATTTCTCCAATCAGTCGTCACATATACCATTTCTCCAATCAATCGTCCGGATACAATATTTCCAATCAGTCGTCACATATACAATATCTTCAATCAGTCGTCACATGTACCATTTCTCCAATCAGTCGTCACATATACCATTTCTCCAATCAGTCGTCCAGATAAAATATTTCCAATCAGTCGTCACATATACTATGTTTCCAATCATTCGTCACATGAACCATTTCTCCATTTTCTCGTCACATGCACCATTTGTCCAATCACTCGTCACATGTACCATTTGTCCAATGACTCGTCACATGTACCATTTCTCCAATCAGTCGTCACATATACCATTTCTCCAATCAGTCGTCCGGATACAATATTTCCAATCAGTCGTCACATATACAATATCTTCAATCAGTCGTCACATGCACCATTTTCACAATCACTCGTCACATGTACAATTTCTCCAATCACTCGTCACGTGTACCATTTCTCCAACCACTCGTCACATGTACCATTTCTCCAATCACACGTCATATGTATTATTTCTCCAACCAGTTGTCACATGTACCGTTTCTCCATTCACTCGTCACATGTACCATTTCTCCAATCAGTCGTCACATGTATCATTTCTCCATTGTCTCGTCACATGTACCCTTTCTTAAATCAATCGTCACATGTACCATTTCTCCAATCACTCGTCACATATACACTATCACCAATCGGTCGTCACATATACAATATCTCCTATCAGTCGTCACATAAACTATTTCTCCAATCAGTCGTCACATATACTATTTCTCTAATCAGTCGTCACATATACTATTTCTCCAATCAGTAGTCACATATACCATTTTTCCAATCGGTCGTCACATGTACCATTTCTCCAATCTCTCGTCACATGTACCATTTCTCCAATCAGTCGTCACATGTACTATTTCTCCAATCACTCGTCACATGTACCATTTCTCCAATCTCTCGTCACATATACAATATCTCCAATCAGTCGTCACATCTACAATATCTCCAATCAGTCGTGATATATACAATATCTCCAATCAGTCGTGACATATACAATATCTAAATTCAGTCGTCACATATACAATATATCCAATCAGTCGTCACATATACAATATCTCCAATCAGTCGTCACATATACAATATCTCCAATCAGTCGTCACATATACAATATCTCAAATCAGTCGTCACATATACAATATCTCCAATCAGTCGTCACATATACAATATCTCCAATCAGTCGTCACATGTACAATATCTCCAATCAATCCAGTCGTCAATCATATACATGTATATCTCCAATCAGTCGTCACATATACAATATCTCCAATCAGTCGTCACATATACAATATCTCCAATCAGTCGTCACATGTACAATATCTCCAATCAGTCGTCACAAGTACAATATCTCTAATCAGTCGTCACATGCACAATATCTCCAATCAGTCGTCACATGTACCATGTCTCCAACCACTCGTCACATGTACCATGTCTCCAACCACTCGTCACATGTACCATTTCTCCAATCTCTCGTCACATGTACCCTTTTTTCAATCTATCGTCAAACGTACCATTTCTTAAATCAACCGTCACATGTACCATTTCTCCAATCACTCGTCACATATACACTATCACCAATCGGTCGTCACATATACAATATCTCCAATCAGTCGACACATATACAATATCTCAATTCAGTCGTCACATATACTATTTCTCTAATCAGTCGTCACATAAACTATTTCTCTAATCATTCGTCACATGTACCATTTCTCCAATCAGTCGTCACATGTACCATTTCTCCAATCAGTCGTCACATATACAATATCTCCAATGACTCGTCACATATACAATATCTCCAATCAGTCGTGATATATACAATATCTCCAATCAGTCGTGACATATACAATATCTAAATTCAGTCGTCACATATACAATATCTCCAATCAGTCGTCACATATACAACATCTCCAATCAGTCGTCACATATACAATATCTCCAATCGGTCGTCACATGTACAATATCTCCAATCGGTCGTGACATGGCGGTAAACATGTATCACCTGCATCACTCCGTGCTATCAAGCTGACAGTAGGTGACATAACTGGAAAACTGTCCAAACTCACTCACACACTCACTCACCCACCGAAACCCACTCACTCACTCGCCCACCACTCACTCTTTTACTCACTCACGCACCTACTCACTCACTCACACATTCACTTACTCACTCACTCACTCACTCACTCACTCACCGAAACACACTCACTCACCCACCAAACTCACCCACCCACCCACTCACTCACCGAGATACACTCACTCACTCTTCAACTCACCGAGCACAAACGTCTCCACAGTACAGCCGACGATACTGTCAGGCTCAGCCCAAAACTCGGCCTCATCCTTGAGTCTGAAGCCGTCGCGACATCCACAAAGGTTGCTGCTGTTGCACACCCCCAAGACGTCGAAGCACACAGCGCTTGTGTTACACTTTTCCCCATTGGCTAGCGTGCCCTGGAAGACACAGGCGTCCTCATTGGCTGAGAGTCGGTGGTACACCTGACACTCACAGACGTTGGTGTCTGGGTTGCAGTAGGTGAGGGTGTTCACGCACTTGGTGCTGGCGTTGCACGCCTCCCCCAGCCTCGAGGCTGAAACATAGGACACAAAGATGATGTTTTACCCACAGGTTAGGACATTATATTGATCCCTGTTAGGGGCATTGTCGTCATTACAAACACACTACCCGTGAAGATCCGGGTTAGAATTGGTCTTCAGCAATCCATGCTTGTCGTAAGAGGCGACTAACGGGATCGAGTGGTCAGCCCTCGCTTACTTGGACAACACATGTCATCGTATCCCATTTGCGTAGGTCGATGCTCATGTTTTTGATCACTGGATTGTGTGGTCCAGATTCGAATATTTACAGACCACCGCCATATAGCAGGAGTATTGCTGAGTGCGGCGTAACAAACACTCTATTCAAAGTAAAACATAACCATGTAACAAAGCCTGTTTGACATTTTGACGCATTGACGCGTCATACCATACATCTGTGCTACCTTTCAGTGAGCACGGGACTATGGTCGCATAGCCTACGCCTGTCACAAACAAATCTCAGTATACTCACAATATGTTTCCCTTTTAGTACAGGAAACTTTAATACTAAGTAATTACTGAGGAATTTTATACAACGCCAAACCTGCTAATAACAACTGTGTCCTCCCGCAAGCGTTATTCTATGCAGAAAGTCGTTTCTGAGCGCAACGGCATTTGCATCAACAACTGTTTACAATCGAAAGTAATTCTGTGGGGTTTATTTGGAAATTGCTCGATCGAATTGGTTAAAAAACTGTAACGAAGTTGAATGGTTCACACTTCGACCTTGGACTGCCTCAAGAACCACGCAGCATCTGGACGACAGCATGGTTTCACACGGTTTCTGATTTCACAGTCACGTTTCTGTCCGAGGTAACAAAACCAGGGGAATATACCCGAATTAATCCGAATGATCCCAGTGGCACAATAATTCGTCACAAGCCCCGCCATTCTAACCATGAACCAATTCAGATTCAGCAGTTCGCGCCAATATATTTATTATTTTTGAGACATGGAATCATATTCCTTTGTTTGACAATCACATACTACTGGATTACTTGTAATGTGTTTACCGATGATGCATTCATGTCCCGACTTGGAGACCACGTAACCCGGGTCACACAAGCACTGGTAGCCGTAGTCGCCGTTACACCGGCAGGTAGTCGTCGCCGGGCAGTCGCTGGCAGAGGTGCAGTTGTCGTAGGCGCTGTGTGCTGTTACAGGACAAAGAACGATGTTTAGCAATTCGTGAAGATTCGGGTTAGAATTGATCTTGAGTAACCCATGCTTGTTGTAAGAGGCGACTAACGGGATTGGGTGGGCAGGCTCGCTGACTTGGTTGACACTCATCTTATCCCAGAGTGCGGCATAAAACAAGAAACAAAACAAACAATCATAGCCGTCGAAAAGTGGATTGTATTGTACTTCTCGTACTGTGGATCGGGCGGTCAAGCGGGTTGGCTGTGTCTAACAATATCAATCTTTATTTTCAGTACTTAAACAGGCCACAGACCTGTAGTACATTTAAAGTTTACATGAGTATAACATATGGTATATTTGGGATTACACTTTCTCAGTAAAGTACAAATTCTAGTACTTTTTGAGTTGAGCCCTATCCGGGATTCGAACTCACACCCTCAGAGTCAGGCACCTAATCGCCAGCACACAAAGTCAGCCGCCTAACCCGTTCAGCTACCGCGACTTCCAATATGGCACTTGTCCAAGGTATCCATGTAATAATCCCAAATATAACATATGTTACATTTGACCACTTCTAAATGGCATTGTGTAATCATTTACATGAATAGTTACAAGTCATCTACAAATGCTTTTCTATAACAATCTGCTTTCTTAAACTCACAACGAAATAGATATACAGTCCCAGAGTCTGTAATAATAATGTGGAAGTGTCTGTTAAAAGTGAAATTATTTTTTTTACACTTGGATGCTTAAAATAGTATGGCTTTGGGTATTTCGTTCGTAGAGTCGTATAAACAGGACAGATTAGAAGGAAATGTAGTTCATCCTCAAATTACATAATTGACATATTCTGTATTGGGTGTCATCATAATAAGGGTTGCTTACAATACAACCCACGACTATTTACTGGCCGCGTCATAGTCTGGTATATTTAAAAAATAACAAGCATGATCTCCCAGCGACATTAGTCCTTTTTTAAATATTAAATTTCAGTTTGTTTAGGTGACTATTTCTTTACACGACATAAGGGTATGGGGGTTCAGTGTACAGACGCTGAGGCTGACGGAAATCAAGTTCCATGTAATGTGAAACTCCCACCCCAGTAGGAGGTCTAGGACAAAAGCCACCCGACAAAAACCACCTGGACAAAATCCTACGGGACAAAAGCCACATTGGACACATGCCACCTTGGACAAGTGCCACCCCGTTCAGATGTGGCCTTTTATCCTAGGTGGCTAGTGTCCAGGTGGATTTTGTCCGGGTGGCTTTTGTCCAGGTGGATTTTGTCTGGGTGGCTTTTGTCCTGCTCCCCCAGTAGACGTATATAGCTATTCCAAAATGGGAGTGAGTAGGCTTTACGCCGCTCGTAGCAATATTCTGGCAATATCACTGTGGGGGGACACCAGTAATGGGCTCCACACATTGGACCTAACATGATGAAAAACAACATCCGTGATATGACCAGACAATACGTGAGAACGGGGCTAAACTGCAAACACATTATATGTGAGTCTTACCTGTTGTAGAAGACAAAAGCGCCAAGCAAATAAAGACAAGTAGGTTAAAACTCTGCTTCATCTGAAACATACAAGATAATGTGAGGTAGAAACTTGGTTAAAGACACCAAAATGCTTATATACTCAAAAATAAAACATACGCTCCATACATTAGTGACAAATTAATACTCATTTATAAATGTAGTTTTACACTGTTCAAGTCTTGAGGTGAAGTGATACCGTCACGTTCAAGATTAGTGCTGTTGTCTATCTTTATTGCTCAATGGGGACAACCCTCCTTGTCGTAAGGGACGACTAACGGGATCGGGTGGTCAGGTTCGCTGACTTGGTTGGCATATGTCATCGTATCTCAATTGCATAGATCATGCTGTTGATCACTGGATTATGTGTTCAGCAATCGATTATTTACAGACGACCGCCATATAGCTGGAATAATGCTGAGTGCGGCGTCAACCAACAAACAAGAGTGACTGAAATTGCAGGGGCGACCATGAGTGGGGTGCAGGGGAGCGCACCTCCTGCCCCTCTCCCCCGAAAAAATTCCCTGAGGAGCATTCCTAACCTTTGGACTTATGTGCTTATGTGATTTATGCACACACCCCAAACCCTCTATCCAAAATGCACCCCTGAAGTGTCATAAATTCTAACTATTGACATCGACGTTTTTTCACTTTACAAGTATTAATCTGTAGTATCGTACTAACTTCAAGTGAAACTGGAGTGCCTGTACAGGAGTCACACTGACACAACAAACAGGAATCATAAGGATGAGTGAGTGAGTTTAGTTTTACGCTACTTTTAGCAATATTCCAGCACTATCACGGCGGGGGACACCAAAAAATGGGCTTCACACATTATACCCATGTGGGGAATCGAACCCGGGTCTTCGGCGTGACGAGCGAACGCTTTAACCACTAGGTTACAACATCACCCTGGAATCAGAAAGGTAAGATACTTTATGGGGGACAACTTATTTATATTATGATGCGACATTTATATTATCATAGCTTGGCAACGGTATGAGAATCTATACCGAAACGTTGGCTGTTGATCACCTGATTGTCTGGTCCAGACTCGGTTAATTATTTACAGACCACTGCCACATAGCTGCAATATTGCTGAGTGCGGCGTTAAACAAAAACAAACCAACCGAAACGTTGCATCATAATATAATCCTTACGTTGTCATCTATGGAGTATCTTACCTTTCATTTTTTCACCAACTTTTAAAAGGCCAGTCAAAAATATGAAGGAATCATGCTTAGATCACACGATTTACTTTTCCGTTTACATTTTCCGCGTTGGCTATCTGTACAAGTGTAAGCATATCGCCGAAAACCCATGTATAAAACATCAAAACTGTAAAAGCATAAGTCTTTTATCCTTCTAATAAATTCTATTCAAAATTATTAGTTGAACACGTACCTTGGAATTGTTCTAATATACTGCAGGTATATCCCAAGACGGCCATTCATTGACTGCCACATATATTTTGAATGATCGGGCAAGGAAAAATGTTCTCACTTCCATGCCCACTGTCAGAATTTTTTCAAATGAATTGCAAACAAATCTTTCTCTGAAAACCTCACGTCCCATATCAATATCATTCGTATCATGAAAAACTAAGAAAGATTTTACACTGCTTTCCCAGTACCTCACAGTGGCAGAGAGCAGGCTGTAATTACAATAGAGCGGTGTAAGGCGCGTATCATTGTTTATCCAGAGTCGGATATCTGCTTTACAATTTCTAGGAATGCTCATCTTCTATTTGAAATACGAATAAAGTATTCCGGCTGTTCTGTCGTATTGATGAAACAAAATATCTGCTTTGGATAGAAAGCCGCACGTCTTCAGTATTTGCTTTAGGCAAATACTGTGAAAAGAATAGGGGACAAAACACGCACCTGTCCAATGCCTATTTCGTTTTCTTCCTGGGTCACTTGATTAGGTGAATGTTTTTCATTTGTTTTTCAAAATATCCGTTATGATAAAGCTATTTTAAAATTATAACTGTTGTGGCATTGTTTTCTTTGCTAGATTCCAAATGTATTTGGTCGCTGTCATCCACATAATGAAGACTCTATCATAAAGACTTTGACGTGTGGAGATGGTGTTTACAGTTGTAAAAAGTTTTAGTTCATGCAGTTATTCTATAATACCTTGCTTTCCGGATTATCGGCTCCGATTAATAGTCGATTATATAATTCCCCCTATCGGTAATGTTCCACAAGATTGAATTAGCTCACCCCTTCAAAACCTGTATGAGACCCCATGCAATAGACCATCCCCTCAATAGTTCAAATTGCACCAACTGTCATAAATCTTCATTCAGCCATGTGTGACAGGGGCGGTTGGGTAGTCTCGTGGTTAAAGCGTCCGTTCGTCACGCTGAAGACCCGAGTTCGATTCCCCACATGGGTACAATGTGTGAAGCCCATTTCTAGTGCTCCCCACCGTGCTATTACTGGAATATTGCCAAACGCGGCGTAAAACCATACTCGCTCACTCATATGTGACATTCTTCCAACGAGTGTCATTTTTCCAAATATATTTTCCCTTTCACAAATATCGTTCGTACTCGGTTACAATACATCATTATCGTTCATACAACGTAGTGGTTATCAGCGAGACCTTCAGGTCTTGAACGTGCCTCAAGCAGTTGGTGACACTATCACGCCAGGGTTTACGCTCATATGTGATCTGGGTGCGACTTTGTGAAGCTGGAGTTGCTCACGCCCTAACAATCCTCAGCGGACACGTCGTCCACGTGGGAATAGTTAATGGGTAGAATATGTCCAACAAATGATCGTAAAACGCAACTCTACTGGATCGTGTAGTTTTGACTGGGCGCCTGTCTGGTCGATGTTTTGTTGGCTGCGATTGGCCGAGCGATATCATCACATTTAGATATTCATTCGTAACTACTCGCTTCTTTCCGTGACCTACAAGAAGACTCGTACCCCTATCGTACGCCATTATTGCCAAGAATCGTGGCAAATTAATCAAATCGCGCGTAGTAAAAGGCATTTCGAAGCATGAAAATGGCGGCACCGTTGAAGTTTGAAACTTCGCTAAACTATGAAAAGCACAATTTAAACATAAACTTTGAGCTAAAGGATCAGAAACCTTAAACTTTAAACACTGAAACATATTTACAAAGAAAATGACTATATTGCTGTTTTGCCCACGGGATATTGGGTATTCTAGGAGCCATGTTTAGAAATTCAGAGTTATCTTTCCTTGGTAATTGTACTAGACTGTTTTCATCTCCATATCCGTTTGCGCTTAGACAGGGCCCAGTCGTAAACATGGCCACGAGAGGGGTACGAGACGCCATCCGGCTTGCCGGAATGACAGGAGTAGTTACGAATGTTAGATATTCAATGGTCGTCGATGTCACGTGTGCAAAATACGCATCATGGGCAACCCTTTTAATCATCATCATCATCATCATCATCATCATCATCATCATCATCATCATCATCATCATCATC